CCTTAAGGACCCTCGGGTTGACGTCGTCAGGACCTCTGGCCTTGTTCGTCTGAACAAAACAGGGACGGGTTGATAACAACACTGCTCCACAGTGCTACTAGTGGTCGAAAACCCCACTGGCTAGCTCTAAGGAACAATTAAATAAAAGAGATGAAGACTGACCTCCACATAACTATGAATGGTTTAATTAACTATTCATATAACCAGTAAAGCCCTCTTGTCATCTCAGCCATCTAACAGTGGTTCCCTACCTTTTTCCTTCAGGGAGCCCTTTTCTATCATTGAGTAAACTGATGACCCAGGACTAAGTGACATATATTATGGATATTTTAATATTATATTGAAAACTGTACAACAAACCCAGTTAGGGATTTGGATGAAGTTTTAGCATATTATTTATATTCTTTTTATACAATTCTTTGTCTGTATTATTTATTCTTTATACTTTTAGGCTACTTTTTTGACAAATCAGTTCTTGTCCCTGACGCTTGGCCACTGTTCTGTTAGACGATTTACTTCACAGAATGCTAAGATATTATGCCTACTGTGTATACTTTTTAAGTTTTCTTACACCCCTTAAAATCAAGAAGGCCTCGCAACCCCCCTAGTTGGGTCCCAACCCCTAAGTGGGGAACCCCTGATTTAAATTAAGGGAAACAGGGAGCACAGGGAGCTCAATGCTTTACGCGTCAGAGGAAGAATGGTACAGAATACAGAAATGTTTCACATAAGTACCAACAAACTCATTGTACGCTACCAGCTCAACTCCAAACAGCAGGCAGACAAAGTTATCAGCTAGCAAGTGAACAAAGTGAAGCATTTAGCAACTAAAGAGCCTGGTATTTTTCTTAGGAGATAGTGGAGAACAAGAACAGTGGATATTGGATTCAGAATATTGGTGTGATGTTTACTACTTCTTCCACTGCACCCATAGAAATCAAGGAATGCACTTTTACTGCACAGTAATATGACTGCAAAATACAGCAATTGGTGTGCAGTGTAATAATTATGAATCTGGGCTGGAAAATGCTAGACTACCTATTTCTGCATGCGTTTATGGTAATAAAACACTGTGTGTGTCCTTGGCCCAGTTCTCTGCACTTTGCACTGAGCACTGGGTTTTAGGTTGTGGTTGAGACTGAATAGTGTTTTTTGTCTCCATTAACCTTCAATGGAGATTTGAATAAGATACAGCACTCTTTGCTTATGACACATGGAATAACATAAAATAATAAATTAACAGAAAAGCAAATTGTTCATTTTCACTTCAAAACACAACATGGCAGATAAATTCAAAGTGTTTTAGTATTTTAGCCAGTGAAATAAGTTGTTACAGTAGGCTATATATTGTTGTGGTTGTTGTGTTTTAGATGTAGACACATAAACAAACAACAAACAAACAAAAGTCTTTGTCCCTTACAACCCATGAAATGCAGTTTTCCATTTGCCATAAAGTGATTACATATCCTACCTTGTCACTGAAAGGTTTTTTCTTCCTCAGAATGACTTAATTTCACTCGTCAGAGTTACATTTTAAAGTTTATAACTCACCCACTACATTTTACCCTTTGAAAGATCTGGAAAGGGGCAATACAAACCATGAAATGCAGTTTTTCGCTTGACAAAAAGTGATTACAGTGCCTTCCTTACTGCTGAAAGGTTTTTTTCTGCCCCAAAATGACTTGATTTAATTCATGGGGGTTATATTTGAATGATTATAACTCAAACACTAACTTTTACCTGTTGAAATACCTTTTAAAAGGCCAATACAACCTGTAAAATTCACTTTTGCACTTGCCAAAAAGTGCAGCTGTTTCCTTGGTGCTGACATTTTGTTTCTGTCCCAAAATGACTTAATTTCATTCATGAGGATTACATTTTAAGGATTACAGCTCACCTATTCTGTTGTTCCAGTTGAAATATCTTAAAAGGCCCAATATGGTCATTGCATTCATACGACCACCTCTTCTAGCTAGTCATCCTGGCACCAACAGGACCAGTGTGTAGGATTCAGTGGCATTTAGCAATGAAGTTTCAGGTTGCAACCATATAAATACAGCTCAGCCTTCCATACACTCTTATCTGTGTTATCTATTCTAGCCAAAGTATGCCCAAAGTATGAGAGGTTAGATTTGGCCTTAATATAAGCTGCCTTTTACCCTATTTTACTTATAGAATGCTAACTGCGTGCTATGATGGTTTACCCAGCCACAGCCCCAATAGGCATGCTCTCTTTGTAATGGCTCTGCATGAATATGTCCTCATTGGCTCCTGTGGGGGCACAATCTGTGAAAACCTTTTTCCTTGACTTCTTCCACATAGTGCTTTCCTTCTGTCCACTGGGAGAATGATAAACAGTGTAATTCAGTGGGGTCAAAATAAGCACTAACTTTGGTGTTTGAGAACAATAAGAGAGAGAGTTTTTGGCGATTATTGTACTGAAAACTGAATCAACTCTGGTGTCTTTTAAATAAAGAGCAGATATTAATGAACCACGGCCATAGTAGCATTGTGCTACAGTAGATGTGTTGATGTTGCCTCTGACAACAGTGACTGAGCCTGCAATTAACAACGCATCATTGGCCCAGTGTTGAGTGATGAGCAGACAGTAGACTGATAGGAAGGGAGGCATGTGCAGAGCTTATGTTGGGACAGATGTGACTGTAATGACAAGGCTGTAGTCAAATTGTGTTGCAATTTGATAGATTAGTATTTTTGCAGATTATTACCTTCATTTTAATCCATCTTGAACTAACTACAGCACTAGAGAAGGATGAATTCATTATTCAAAAATGCTCATCTCAGACTACAAAAATGTCACTACCTCTGTCATCTCTGTTGCCCCAGATATATATGTATATATAGTATATTGTATATTTTCAATATGTTGCTTTCTGTACTAAGCATTGACAAAAACCTGTCAAAAACCATGTGCATGATTTAGTGCAAGTTGACATATATTAATACATAATACAAACATAATTAATAAGTGCAGTTAATTCAATTTATATTTATAGTTACTGCTCTTTAGCAAAGCAGTTAACACCCAGTTCCTTCTGGCAACGGTTACACACTGCAGCTCCCAGTGTAAATGTAGCAGTGTGAGACTTAAAGGTCCAGTGTGTAACA